TCCTGGTGCCCCTTCTGGATCTCTCACCTATTCTTATCCTGATGACCCTCTTCCAAGGCAAGAAAGTCAACTCTGGAGCCCAGGGATTCTCAACCCCTGTCCAGATTGCTTTCCTCCACATCACAGAATGTTAGCTGTTGGGCTTCCCTGGTGGCGCAGTGGTTGAGAGTCCGCCTGCCGATGCAGGGGACGCGGGTTTGTGCCCCGGTCCGGGAAGATCTCACATGCCGCGGAGCGGCTGGGCCCGTGAGCCGTGGCCGCTGAGCCTGCGCGTCCGGAGCCTGTGCTCCGCAACGGGAGAGGCCACAACGGTGAGAGGCCCGCGTACCACCAAAAAAAAAAAAAAAAAAAAAAAAAAAGAATGTTAGCTGTTTGCTGTATCTTCAACCACAAACATAAAATAGGGCTGGTCTGTGTCCCACTAGCTCCAAATACATTAACCAGGGATCCCTGCCTTTTGGACTCTGACACTGCAAGTGGGAATTCACCCATGACGATATCACATTACCAACCATATCATGAGACCTTCTTACAGCTGACTAGTCAGTATTAAATATATCCTGGGGTGGACCCGTAGGGATACCGCCGAGACATCCTCCTGGATTCACCACCATTTCAACAAGCACATTTTGACAACCTCCTTTGCTGCCTTCTGCAGATCACCAAGCTGCTACTTTCTGTGTTGTCACATCATACTTTATGAGGTTATATGCACTGACTTGTATCCCAGCACCTTCTGTACAAAGGGACATTGACACACATTGGTTCAGCTTAACAGACTTTCCTATCAGGACTGACTCAAGGTACCTTGCAGCAGGTTCCACTTCACACTTCAATATAAACTGAGAAGGCGGAAGTAGGCTCCAGATTGGATGGAAACCAGCTTTTATTATAAACCGCACACTCATAGGCCTTGTCTTAACTTCAAAACAGCCATGCAATTAGGGCATCGTTAAATCCTTTTATCAGATAAGGAAACAAAAGACCGAGAGGTTAAGCAACCTATCCCAACTTGGTCACACAGTTCATGCTGGAAACCAGAATTCGAATGGATAGGTTTGATTGATCACAAAGTCATTTGTCAAGATAGGAGCACAGAGACATCCTTTGTATTATGTTTAACTACAACAGCCAAACAGCCAACAAACCTACTTGCATAGGTCCCCGGTGTGCCTGTGTGCCCTGTCTCTCAGCCGCTTCTTAGGGAACACAGTGATTTCTAAACCTTCAACAATGACTTTCCTTATGCCTCACCACCTCCAAAATTTTTGAGACTAGGATACTTCAAACGTTTGGATGTCTATTGTATTTCTCTCTTGCAACTGGGCAGGGATTCCCCCCCCTCCCCCGGGCACACTCTGATCCAGCAGTATGTGCCGTTCACGGCATAAAGAAAGAAGAGGAGTAGAGAACTGAGCATTGAGATTTTATTACAGAAACAGCGATATCGAACATCAATCACACAACTGTGGCCGGGGGGCACAAGTTGAAAACATGATGCAATTAACCTCCTAAAATTATTCACCTATGTTGTCATGAAATGGTTGACAAAGAAGGCAATGACTAAAGTGCAATTGTCCAGAAAACACTTCCGAAAACAGGTTTTAGGAAAAAAGGGAAAACAGATTATGGAGGTGAAAAGGACCTGGGACAGAAGCATTTTCAAAACCAGCTTAGTCCCCAAAACTCATCGGTCTCACTGCCATATGCATCCCCATTTGCAATATTCATCTTCGTCTTCAGGCCACGGTTCCCATACCTAGTTGTGAATTAGCATCTTCCTGGGAGCTTTTTTTTTTTTTTTTGAGGTATGCGGGCCTCTCACTGTTGTGGCCTCTCCCGTTGTGGAGCGCAGGCTCAGCGGCCATGGCGCACAGGCCCAGCCGCTCAGGGGCATGTTGGATTTCCCCGGACCGGGGCACGAACCCGTGTCCCCTGCATCGGCAGGCGGACTCTCAACCACTGCGCAACCAGGGAAGCCCCTGGGAGCTTTTTAAAATGCAGATTCTCAAGTCTCCTGTCAGATCTAAAGAATAAGAATCCTTGCAGAGTGGGACTAGGAATTGGTATTTATTAGACTTTCACTTCTGTATCATTTGTTGACTCGAATGCAGCCAGTCACTCCGGGAACCGGCTGTTTTAACAGACACTGGCACACAAGACAATTTTCTGGAAGAAAAAAGTCCTTTGCAATTTAAATCAGAGTTCCTTGCTGTTTGAAATGCTTCGCGGAGGTCCAAAGATGTCTTCCGCAGCGGGACAGCATCAGTTCCTTAGTACAATTCACCTCTTCTCTCTCAACTCCCATGAGCCACCTCTTTATTTTCAACATTTTCTGTGTAAGGAAATGCTAATAATTTTGTAGCGTAGTATTTCAGTTAATATTCTGGACCACAAAGGAGGCAACGCTCTGCTGACAGGCAAACCTATCACATTCCCTTGGAGATACTTATACACAGAGAAAGTGGGATGCTGGCACCAGCTCCTCTCTTTATGTACATGCGGTGCCACAGCTATGCTCAGACCCTGGCTAAGATTAGCAATAGAAGAAGGACAGGGAGCAATTAAATTCACTTCCTATTCCCAAAGCGAGGTTTTTGCTTAAGTGAGCAAAGGCTTCTGCTGGCTCCTCTTTGTGGAACAGTTGTATCAAATAACATTTGCACAGCACTTTACAGTTTCCAAATCACTTTCCTTTTCAATACTATCTCATCTAATCATCAGAGTAGCCCAGAGCAGTAGGTATGATTTCCTCCATTTAACCTGTAGAGGCTGAGGCTCAAGCAGTTAAATGACCGACACAAGTTCACACAGCCAGGAAACGGAAGAACACAATTTGGAACCAGGTCTTTCATGAAACAAACACAATGGTAAAGTTCAAGTTAACTTTAATACATACTGTTGGCTAGAACCAAGGAAGACGTCAAAACCTAAACAAAAACTCGGCCTTGGAAATGGACTTTCAAACAGAAACCGAGCGTGTGAATTTGCTAGTTCTACTTTTCTCAGTAAGACATTTGTCAGGAAGTTTTCTGAGCTGTTCCACAGGAAGAAGAATAGCATGGTGAGTAAGGCTATGGAACCAGAAAGCCTGCGTTTGAATCCCAGCTCTGCTATCTATGAGCTTTGTGACCAAGGGCAAGTTACTTAACTTCTTTGTACCTCAGTTTCTTTGCCCATAAAATGGGAATAATAAGAATCGTGCACAACTGAGAGCACTGGTTGAAGATTTTAAAAGTTAGATCTATGTAATATATTTTAAATTATACCTGGCACACAGCAAGTTATCAGACACTTCCTTTGTACGTTAGTAAAAATATCTGCTCACACGTAATCAACTCTCAACTGTCCATGTGGCGATTATTCTCTGGGTTTTAGGTTTTAGCTTGGTTTTCACCTATAGCAATCTGTGGCCCTGATACTCAGTTGCCCTTGAGGAAGAAGAAAGGAATTCACTCTTGCAGAGCAAGCACCACATGCCAGACACTAGGTCAGACGTACCACCAGATGTATTTCTCACCACACCACCACCAAGTAGCTATCATTGTCCCCATTCCACAGATGGGAAAATCTAAGGCTCAGAGAGTTGAGTAAACCCTGCTGGTAAGTGGAAGGGAAGGTTAAATCCCAGTCTTTCTCCTTCCTGAGCCGTTGCTCTTTCAGACTGTGTTGTGCTCAATACAGATATGAATGCTATCCTCACTAAATTCAAACTGCAACCACATGCCTTCCCCCAAATCAAGCCATTGTCTCAATCTAGCTCCCTTCCCGGGGCAAATCCTGATGGCCTAGAGAAACCACTTCCTGGGAAGTCAAAGGGCATAGGAAGATGAACCACTCCGTCAAGTCACCATCAAACCAATGTTTTCACTAAGGAACGAAGGTGTGGCACGTGCTCCAATATGCCAAGTACTAGGGAATGATAACAGTACTTACCTTAGATGGTGATTACAATGATTAATTGAGTTATAACAGCTCTCACCTGCATGTCAAGGGTTCAATCACTGTTAGTTGTAACAGATAGTGAAGCATAACGCTTCATTGCATGAACTTGGGAGCCAGATTGCCTGTGTTTAAATCCTGACCCTGTATCACTCACTAGTGGTGTGACCTTGGGCAAGTTATTGAATCTGTCTCTGCCACAGTTGCTCACCTGTAAACTGGGGATAACAGTAAAACCTACCTCACAGGACTGTTGTAAGGATTAGATGAATAATACAAATGAAGCCTTAGAACAGTGCCTGGAACATAGTAACATAGTAACTACTGTATAACTGGTTGGTTTTATTATTAAGAAAATGGGGGGTTGCATTGGGGGAAAAAGAGGTTGGTGAAACATGGAAAAACAGGCATTTACATATACTACGGGTGGCTGCACTATATTAATGCAACATTTTTGGAGGGTGATTTGGCAATATCCAACAGCACTTTAAATGTTTGTGTCTTGTGATTCGTCAATTCCATGCAAGGAATGTAAACTACAGATGTGCCAGCACAAATGTGTGCATTTGTGTGTTGAGGGAAGCACCTAGGGGTAAGCAAGAGCTCCTTTAACCCAATAAGGTTAACTATCAGAAGCCTAGGTAACAACACTCACAAGTAGAATAGTATCATAGAATCCCCTTAACATCAGGAATGGGAAAGGGATACCCACTATCATTGTTTCTAGTCAATACCATACTGAAGAGCAAGCCAAATGCATTAAGAAAAATAAATAAGGATTGGAAGGACAGAAATAAAGCTGCCATTAAGTACATATAAGATGACTGTCTACACAAAACTCAATAGTCTATAGAGAATTTATTATTATTAAAAGTAATAAGGGAGTTTAGCAAAGTAGCTAGCTATAAGAATAATGTAAAAAAATAAATTCCATTTCTATATAGCGACAACAAAAAGAAAATATAAGTTTTCAAAAGCTCTACTTGTTATATATGATTCTGTAACAAACTATCACAAAATGTAGTGCCTTAAAACAACAAACATTTATTAGCTCTTACTATATCTGAGGGTTAGGAATCCGGAAGTTGCTCAGCGGATGGCTCTGGCGAGGGGTCTGTCTCTCAGGAGATTGCAGTGGGTGGGGCTTTAGTCATCTGAAGCCTTGACTGGGGCTAGAGGATCTGCTTTCAAGACGGCCCACTCATGTGGATGGAGGCTGGATATTCGCACCACGTGGACCTCTCTGTAAGGCTACCTGAGTATCCTCAGGACACGGCAGCTGCCTTCCTGCACAGAAGGTGATCTGAGAAAGGACAAGGAGGAAGCCACAGTACCTTTAATGATTTAGTCTCTGAATTAGTTCTGCTTTATTTTTTCCTTAGCAGAAAGTCTCTAAGTCCATTCCACACCTAATAAGAGGAAAATTAAGCTCCATCTTTTAAAGGGAGGCATTTCACAGAACATGTGGACAGATTTTAAAACCACCAGAGATATCATTTTTAGCAGAAAAATCCAACCTACTTCGGAATAAATCTAATGAAAGATGTTTAAAACTTTAAGGAGAAAATTTTAAAACTTTAGTGAAAGACATTAAAGAAGACCTAACTTAATGTAGAGATATATGTTAGGTAGTCTCAAAAGTAATTCCCTCAAACTGGTATATTAAATCAATTCATTTCTAATCTAAGCCTCCAACAGAATTAAAAAAAAATTTTTTTTGAACTTGAAAAGCAGATTCTGAAACTCATATGAAAATTCAAAGGCCCAAGAATAGTAAACACACTCCTGAAGGAGAGAAAGTACAAGACTGAAGAACACGCTCCACATATATCAAAACTTCTTATAAAGCTTGATAGCAATAGCAGTTAAAACAGTGCGGGATTGTCTCAGAAATAGACAAACTTTGCAATGAAGAGAATAGCGATCCCGGACACAGACCTATACAACTATAGAAACTTGATACACACCAGAAGGAACACTGAAAATCACTTGGCAAACAGTATAGTATTTAATAAATAATGCTGCCACGACTGCTTATCCATGGAGGGAGAAGATGAAATTGTATCTTAACCTCAGGCCATATCTTTACATAAATGAATTCCAGGTAAATTTAAAACTTAAATGTAAAAGGCAAAGCTCTAAAAGCCACAAAAGAAAATATACGAATATGACTTTGTGACCTTATGTTATGGAAGGACTTCTTAAGCAGACATAAAAATATTAGCTATAAAAATAATTGATAAATTTAACTATATTAAAATGAATAAAATTGAACATTAAAAAAAAGAACTGTAAAGAAAGTGAAAAAGGCCCCACATGGGTAAAAATACTTTTAGATAACCAACAAAATAGTATCCTGAATATAAGGTATTTCTCAATTCTCAAGAGTGGGACTGCTATTTCAATGTATATGTGAACTTTTAATTTTAATAGGTATCAATAGAGAATATTTAAAGCAGCTGTTAGCAATTCAAAGGGTTCTTCCCCACCAGCAATAAATCTTTATTTTTTGCCACTTTGATACATGACTAACAGTAAAACTGAATATTTTTTGTTTGTTTTTATTATGGCATGTTTTGTAGTATAAAAAGAGAGTTGGCATCCTTTTCTTGTTCCTGGTTCAGGAAAAATAGCTGCAGCATATGTTTATTGGTTATTTCTTTTGTTACTTGTAAATGTCCTACTCATATTCTTTTTTTCCTCTACTATTCAACATTGTCTTGGAGCTATGAGCAAACGCAAAGATAAGAAAATGATATAATCTGTATACACATTGAAAAGCAGAGATAACTCTCTTGATTCATTAATATGATTTAGTTTCCAGAAACTGTATTTAAAAATGAAAACTTGCTACAATTAATAAGATAATTTGGCAAGATGGCTCAATACAATATAACTATACAAAGATCAATAACTTTTCTCTCTACTAGCAATAAGCACCTACAAATGGAAATACGGGAGACATTTCATTTACAACGGCAGATAAAGTGAATAAAGTATTTCAGGAGAAACTGAACAAGGCAGGCTTAAGACTTTCATAAATGAATCTGTAAAATCTTACCAAGGTTCATAAAACAAGGTATAACGAATGGAAAGAAAAACTATTCTGGACAATTCTTCCACATTTATATCTGTCTAAAAGCAAGGAGGGCTTCCCTGGTGGCGCAGTGGTTGGGAGTCCGCCTGCCGATGCAGGGGACACGGGTTCGTGCCCCGGTCCGGGAAGCTCCCACATGCCGCAGGGCAGCTGGGCCCGTGAGCCATGGCCGCTGAGCCTGCGCGTCCGGAGCCTGTGCTCCGCAACGGGAGAGGCCACAACAGTGAGAGGCCCACGTACCGGGAAAAAATAAGTAAATAAATAAAAGCAAGGAGTTGGGAATGAACTTCGTATGTTTGCAGAATAATTCAGAATGCTGGTAACATGGCGCTTTCATTCAGTCACTCAGCAAATTTTTATTGGGTACTTTCTAAGTGCCATACTCGGCTACACACAAGTAATAATCCAGACCTGGTCCCTGTTCTCATGGAACTGATAATAATTTAACTAACAAAAGACAAGCTTTTATAAAATAATAAATCATGAGGGTTGGTAGAAGAGACCTTGAATGTCGCCTGTACTTGTGTCATTATTTGACAGACGTGGAAACTGAGGTCCTGACAGGAGATGTGATTTGCTGAAGTTCACACAACTAGTAAATACAAGTTGGGACTAGTTCTCCTGACTTCCTCAACATACTCTTCTGCTGCTCAGTTTACAGTGTGAGGGGCTTTAGACTATGCTCCTTCGTGTAGTCTAGTCCAGCACTTACAGAGATTTTATAGTATAGTTATACACATGATCACAGGCACAAGACTTGAGAAAATACTAGGCATCATGATGGTGCTCAGACTCTACTGATATTCTGTTAGACAATAAACAGAGTACATACAAACAAGGGAATACCAGGCAGTCATTAAAAAGATGATGTAAATCTAGAAATAGACCTATATATGAAAAAATGACTATGACACACATTAAGTGAATAAAGATTATAGAATGTTACATTTATCATCATGCTATGTATGTAAAATTATATATATATATCTAAATATAGGTATGTGAAATGATACAATATGTAAAATTATACAATTATACGTGTGTTTATGTATATGTATGTGTATACATACAGTGTGTGTATAGATAGATATAGATATGCAGAGATATAACGATTTCTGGAAGATCATTTACCATGACGTTAACAGTAGTATTTGTTAAAATATGAGGTGGACTTTATTTTCTTCTTTGTACATTTCTCTATTGTTGATTTTTTTTAACATTGATCCAGTATCTTTTTTAAAAGCAATGAAATTTATAAGATAATTGTTCTGAATAACTTCAGGTATCAGGAGCATGACCAATGGGTTGGAACAAATGTTTGTGTTAGAACATGGACATTGGATATAGAAATCACAGCAGGACCTACTCATCTAGTAAAAGGGATGGAAAAGCAAATCTGCATTTAGGACACAATGATACACCTTCCTAAAACTTACAAATAATCTGGAGGAGCCTGCATTCTGGATGACACACTTAGCCTCTACTACCCTTGGACTGCCAATCTTTGGGCATCTTGTCACAGAAGAAAAATAATGCCTAGATATAGAAATCCCTACTTGGCGTGCTTTCAGCTACATGCAGCTAAACAGATTCCTAAAAGCTGCATGCAATAAAACTTCTTTAAATTTGACTTTGCTTAGTCATAGTTTGTGATGTCCCTACATAGCGGGAGCTAAAATTGATTTTTGCCAAATTAATTTTAAAACAAATCAACAGTGAAATTATGAGGGCAAGGAAAATGATTCTCTTTCCTGAAAGACTAAGCTACTTATTAATCACAAGCCCTTTAGCAGCACCAAGCACAGGGTTACACACCTGTGTAACAACAACCTGTGTAGCAACACACATAGTTGCTATGTCCACTATAATGATTTTTATTTATTCTATAACTCTTTTTGGCAATATCTTGCTAATCCAGTTACAATTTGATCTGAAGTCCAGAATACTGACTTTTCTCATGGAATTCTCTAAAATTAGCTGCAGTACTTTAAAGTTTAATCTACATCAACTTAAGAACAATATAACCACAAATATATTCATTTAAATCTACCATGTAGGCTTTTCAGTGAGTGTAACTCACACACACACATTCATCACCTAAGGTCTAACTCTTCTGTTCTGATTTTATGAATAAACTTTCCAATGCAGAGACACGATATTTTAGAAAGCTGCACAGAAAGTACTTACCTACACTATGTGATTTTGCCATGACTGATAACTATTGATCTGTCCCCCTCCCCCCCAGAAAAAGGCTTGGAGTAAAACTACATAGGCAATTTGAATAATATAATTGAGTCACCATTAATCCCTTGTAATTCCTTCCCTTTGCCACATTTATTAATCCTTAAAGGTTTTCAGAGAATGGTTCTATTCCACTATTCTTCGCATACCATCTGTTCAAGCACATTCCTTGTATTCTTACTAGATTTTCACAGATGTCACTTTTTAAATTGGCAAATCTCCTCAGAAGCATCATCTGGCTCCCTTCACCCCTACTTCAGGGAGCCCCCTAGTCATCGCAGTAATACCAGCATCAGAGCAGATGTTCCATATTCTCTGGCAGATTTCCCTCCCTCGGTAGAGTTCTTGAATGCAAATGTTTGAGATTTTAAAAAAATCTTTTGGGTGCAAGAGTTTTCTGCAATTGCTTTCTGTGTGTCAAATGCAGTGCACAGTCCTCTTTTCTGCTCTTCTGGAGACCTGGTCAGAGAGAATCTCTTTGCTCGAAGTGTAGGGAGCAGAAACAGATACATAGAGACAGAGACCAGAGAGAACCCTGGAAAACCAAAGAGAACGAGATGCAAAGTCAAATTATACAAGGCTCAACGTTTTAAAGGTCAGCTGGGTCTATTCTGCCATGGAAGTTAAGCAACATTCTGGTCTGGGCAGAAGAGAGCAGATTGTTTTTGGAAGATATGTGAAATATAACTGTGACTACCTACTCAAAACAAAATGGAAGACTGAGAAATTTTCCATGGAATTAGATCACTGAAGGCAATTAATTTGGATAACTGATTTATTAATTGCCAGGATCTGATACTGAAATTATTCAAAAACACTCCTTCCAGATCTACAGCTTGCTTGTTCCACGTGAACACAACCTCAAAGTGAAATTATATGCTGCAGCGATACTGAAACAATGTTAAGTTTGGAGGAAAGGTACTGGCGTTAGAACAGGGAATGTTGGTGGGAATGTAAATTG